AATCCGAGATAGCCATTTTGTAGAGCTGGGTGACATCTTCAAGTACTGTAAATTTACATCGATCGGATATAAAAGCTGTGCCTTTGAGAGAGCTTTGAACTTTTTTAGAGGTGGTGTGTCAGTTTTGGTGACCTTGTGACCTGACCTGACACTGACCCGAACCCCCCAAAACAGGACATGATGTAAAAATGTTGAATAAACAGCTATACAAAGTTTCAGGGCGCTAACTCAAGTGGTTTCTGAGTTATCGCTGAAAAACCACAGGGGGGGGGGCCAAAATGGCCCCCCCCCCCCCCACCAGGGCGAAGGTTAAACTACATTTGTTTCCTGTCATTTAAGATCTATTTAGACCAGACAAACAAAGAGCTTCGCCGAACATTATGATGAGCTTTGGAAGAGCTACCACCGACAGTTATTTGGGTTTACGGCTGGCCTCTTTGCGAGCTTTGAACACATCCAGATGAAAGTAAGATCACTCGGGGACGAATATCAGCTAAATGTGGAATGGACATGTCTTTAGACTGCAGTAAAAGCATGACACTGAATGATATTTGGTTAATTCCGAAACACTTTTGTAGAGACTAGAAGCCGTAGAAGAAGAAAAGGCTTACTAGATAATTAATTACAAATTGTAAGCCCTGTTCTTCATGCAGCACATGAATTGCTTTCCTTCTACATTCTCTTGTTATATTTTTACGCTGCCAACTACAGTTGGATCCATTCTACATTTTACCCTGCCAAACACTCGGCGCTGATTATTTGTCTCTGGCGACTGCCCTAGCCGACATTCCTGTGATTATTTGTCTCTGGCATCTCGCCTGTATCCGACTTTAGAACACGACCGTTGCACATACGGCTGGCATCTGCGACACTTTCACTGCTCAATCTCCCGCTGAGACGTCTTGTTTTGACAGCGCTGTGCGTTAAAGCACAGCCCTCACACCCGCGGCTCTGCCGGTCCGACCCCCAAACGACAGCTCACGTGCCTGATGGTAATAGCCCGACAATACAACTCACTAGCGGCTACTGTGCTCTATCCACGCTCCCTTGTGGCTTCGTTTTGATTACGGAGCGAGCGAAGCGAGCGAAGTCTTTCCTTAGATTAACGGAAATTTCTGAGTATGAGCGGCCGGCCGGCCGGCCGGCCGGCCGTGCGGACGCTTTTGCGAGGCTTATATCTCAGCAACCACTTGACCGATTTACACGCGGTAATTTTTGTTGGGTAGCTTCATTCCTTCTACCAAGTATTGGACTATTCCCGATGCATATAGGTGACCCCTTATGCACGTGCCACGTGCAAAACGAAGAGGTGTCAGTTTTGTAATTGTTGCAATATCTCGGTAACTACTTGGCCGATTGCGCTGAAAGTTGGCATGTAGGTAGGCACCCACTAGGCACTGCATATCCATGTGCCAGAATTGGGGTGCTGCTGCACGTGCGCACGTGCAGGGGTCGTTTCCAGATCTCGAGAACGGCTGGACCGATGGCGCTCAAATTTGGTACACGGTTAGGGACCAGTTAGTAGGGTGCCGTGCACAAGTCAGTTGGGACCCATTTAGCACGTGCGCACGTGCAGGGTGCCGCTCCCAGATCTCGAGAACGGCTGGGCCGATTGTGCTCAAATTTGGCACATCGCTAGAAACCGGTCAGTAGGGTGCCGTGCACAAGTCAGTTGGAGGTACCCCCTCGAAATTTCGCACGTGCAAGACTCACCCCCTCGCTCGCTCCGTTAGTCGCCCCAAAAGGCGCTATACTGGTAGATTATCTTCTGTAGGCCGAGCCAAATTGCGTTAACATGCTATGAATACGCGTGTGGGATATCGACTGCCTTAGGAGGGTGGGATATCGACGGACTAGAGCCGGCCTAGTAGCACCTCTGCCCTGTCCCTCTGCCACTCAGCTGGTGCCTCTGTCGCTACGCAAATTATAGCGCTCTCTCTATCTCTTTCTCTTTCTCTCTCTCTCCTCTCTCTCTCTCTCTCTCTCTCTCTCTCTCTCTCTCTCTCTCTCTCTCTCTCGCTCTCTCTCTCTCGCTCTCTCTCTCTCTCTCTCTCTCTCTCTCTCTCTCTCTCTCTCTCTCTCTCTCTTTCCTTTTCTATATCATTCTCCTTTTCTCTTTTTTTTCTATCTCTCTGTCTTGTTACTCTTTATTGCATATACTTCTCTCTCAGTGTTATGTGTATATCTGCCTTACTTCTCCCTTTCCGCTCCCTCTTTCTTTTCCTTTTGTCTTTTTTCTCTCATTCTCCGTCTATCTTACTCTCTATCTCCTCCCTTTACTCTGTCGTGCTTTATTTTCTTGTCTTGCTTTCGCGCTATTTTTTTGTAAGCTAACGATACCCTCCTACTCTCTTCCCAGCACTTCTCTGCTAGGCTCGTGTTCCTCCTGCCTTGCCGAAGATCATTCGGCCTCTTATACAGCCAATGTTTGGTGTTGAAACTTGAAGAGGAGTTTAAAAGACATGTCGACATGTTGGGAAATGCTGTGGGAGTGGAGGCGAAGAATTAAGATGAGACCGACGAGCAGACTTATTAGCTCCCGTTAACTGGTAGCACAGAACTGGTACGCGTTATAACTGAACTGTATGCACTGGCAGAACCGCTCAGCTGCAGTTCCTGGCAACATAACTGAGTCCGTAGATATGATAGCTATAGTTTTACATAAATGTAAAATATCGGTATAAACGGCTTATCTATCTTATACTAGGGGATAACAACCCGTCTTTGGCTACAGGCAAATCGAAATATAATTCGACCATAAACCATCCGTCCCACACATTTACAACGCATCTACGAACGTCTTATTTACATTATGCATGTTTTCGGTTATCCAGCCGACACAACAGCGGTGTCCGCACATGACTGGTCGGCGGCGGAGGGTGGAAGCCGGCGGTTAATTGCGTTAGCGGGGCTCGTTAGTTGGCGGACGGGGGCCGATCCGGCGGCGCCCTCCTCCGGAACACCGGGCTAATAAGGCCGGCCAGAGCCAGGACCGATGGCCGCTGCCCCGGGCGCTGGCTTACGGGCGGCGGCGGCGGTGGCGATGGTGGGGTTGGGCGGCGGTGGCGGCGGTGGTAGGGTTGGGCGGCGGACAGCGGCGGAGGAGGGACGAAAGAAGGACGGCGGACGGCGCGCGGCGGCCGGCAGGATCCTATAGGGTTGTCCGGACAGAGCCGAGTGGGATGGCCCCTGGCCCCGGTCCGGGTCGGTAGGACTCGCAGCCGGTGACGGATGGGACAGCATCTCAATGTGGCCGAGAGACTGGGCGGGCGCCGCACGCCCTAATGTATGCCCGCCCCCTGCGCCAGATCGCCTCTGATATACAGACCAACCATAAATAAGGCGCCGCCGCTATGGGAGCAGCGCCCGCGCCGGAACACCGCGGGAATCGAGGGCGGGACCTGGGCGGAGGCCGAGAGAGGCAAACCGTGCCGGAGGGCGGGACGAGGCAATGGACCCCCCGCGGAGCGCGCGAGAAAAAGGCGGACATTATAACACAGCAGTACCGACGAATGGATGGAGTTGCGTATATGTAACTTGTCTTCAGTGATAGAACTGTCGGCATTGTATGAAGACGTCTATTATTGAAGATTAGGTACGGGCCATGATATCTGTTTCTTATTTTATATGGTATAGAAAGGTTTATTTAAACATGTGTGGGATCTTTCAGAAAGGGTCCATCCTTTGCCACAGGATACGGTGAGGCAGGCTGGTAACCAGGCTAAGAAAATAACCAAATGAATTAAAAACAGCCATTGGCCTGAGGACCAAACCGTAACGGAATATCGGGTAGATGGAGAGACATAAGCTCAGCAGTGGAATGAGTCGTGAGCTCGGACGGAGGCCAGAGGAAGAGTTGTGAGGTCGGACGAACAGAGAAAGAGAGAAAGCTGTGAGACTGAGAAAATGGAGAGACGGGTTGTCTGACGCAGGAAAGGTCGATAGGTCAAGCAGAGGGAGAGCGAAGAGGTCAGGCGGCAGGCGAATTGTGACTGCGGACAGACTAAAAAGTCGTGGGTTTGGGCCGAAGGAAGCTCGTGAGGCTGAGTAGAGGGTCAGTCATGAAGTCCGGCAGATTAAAAAGTCGTGAGCATGGACTGAGAGGAGCTCGTGAAGTTTGGCCAAGAGAAGTTCGTTAGGCTGGAAAGAGTGACAGTCGTGAGATCGGGCCGAGGGACGTTCGTGAGGCTGGGGAGAGGGAGACTGACTTGCCCAGTCGGGCAGAGGGGCAGCCCTGAGGTCGGGCAGAGCGGAGGGTCGCTCGGCTGCCGGGCGACGGTCTCCGGCGGGCAATAGCAGCGCGCCGGCCGCAGAAATGATGTGGTCATAACTCTGCGGCACGACCCAGGTGAAGACGCATCATTCAATGTTCACGACTCTAAAGGTCACCGTGAATGGAGGCGTCGGGTGCTCGAGATGACCGTGAGTGGGCTGAGTCCGTGAGGTGACACACTAGTCGGCTCAGTGGGGTTTCATGGTGGCTCCGAGTGCTTTCGTGGTCTGTGTTTTTTTGTTGAACTACACAGTTCATTCACAATGTGAGTGGAGTTAATCATGGCGCCATATAGGTATGTACATGGCTTAAAAACACATATTATGCAGAGCGGAGGAAAAACATGTGTAGAACAGGTTAATTGCGTTTACTTTTTTGTTTGTTATGCTGACCAAGATTCAGTCCATTGTCCTAGTGGCATCCAAAGATATAAACATATTTTGATTAATAGCGAACTAGAAGTCCGAAAGTTCAACTCATTTACACCAGGACCAGCAATCAATTTACATATATTGTGTCCCTAGCAGTCGCTCACTTACCTCATACATGGCTCCAAGAGGCATCACCAGACAGGCCACCATGAGGTCGGCCACTGCCAACGACACGATCAGGTAGTTGGCCACGTTCTGCAGGCCCTTCTCCATGACGATAGCAGCGATCACGAACACGTTACCTGCCGGGTCAGGTCAGGGTCAGGTCAGGGTCAGGTCAGAGTCAGGGGTTCAGGGTCAGGGCAGGGTCAGGGTGAGGTCAGCTTCAGGTCATGATTGGGTCAGGTCAGGTTCAGGTCAGGGTGAGGTCAGCTTCAGGTCAGGGTCAGGTCAGGGTCAGGGCAAGGTCAGGGCAAGCTCAAGTCAGTCCTAAAGTCAGTCAGGTCAGTCCTGAAAAAAAAATGTAGTTCGGCCGTTTGTTGATCCGCTGTCCGAAGCGATCCAGGCGTAACATTCCAACAGTTGTCTCACTCGTGCGCAGCACAACACAAGTAGCCTCACGAACAATGGACTTTTCAAGGACGGTCCCCATCAGCGAGGATGAATTTCCGTGAACCGGAGACGCGCCAGCCGCCACCATCGGTCAGCCAGAGTCCTTTTCAGTTAACTGTTAATTCACCACGTAGCTGAATTTCATGAACTTTGCGCTCGCCTCGGCGGGGCGTAAATATTTCAGCCTTGCCGAACCCTTTCAGCTGATGGTTTGCGGCAAAACGTCCGGATATTTAGAACCACTCAAGCTGTGCCACAGGGCACGAACAACAAACTCCGCTCACACTCAACCCGATACGGCCCATTTCAACTTCCAGAATAAACATATAAAAGCTGAACGACTCGCTATCAGGCCGAGATCTAAAAACGTCCACTCGAACGCTGCAGCACAGCCTCGACGGGCGGCTGCCTTACCCACTTTGCCTACGTTTGCTCTGAGAAGTTCGACAGAAATCAAAGTTTTCACTTCTCACAGCGCGTTTACCTGCTACATATGATCAAGGCCTTTCAAGACGGAGGCTTTTCGTTCTACCATAATCACCAGAAGAATGTTGCGAATCGCTATGTCACCTTACCTACACCAGCCAGCACATTGCAAGATTGAGTAATTAACCCACGAGCCGCTGGGGGGGGAGGGGGGCAGGCATAAAGTTGTCCCCCTTTACGTTTTGTGAAATATCTCCAAAACCTGATGAGCTACGAACGTGAAACGTGGCATAGCTTCAAATGAATACCTAGGCAATGTTTGAGGAAAGTTTGGTGGTTGTAGCACCTAAGATGACGTCACAGTGACATCATACAGTTTTGTGGTTTTCCGATATGGACCGTTTCTGATGACGCTGAGCATGAACTCAACTGTAAATGAGCTAGACAGCACCTGCTGTCATCCTAAAACATCGAACTACACTTCCATCTAGCTTCTGACCAATAATCGGCCCTTTATATTCGGTCCCATGGCCATATATCTGATGTATCGTGAGGAATATGAGAGTCGCAAATCTATAATTTCACTTATGACGTCACTGTGACGTCATTTCAAATGGGATCGACACCAAATTTGGACGAAACCTCGGCTTGGTATTCAAAAAGATGTGTGCAAAGTTTCGCTTTTCTATCTCTTCGCGTTGCGACGATATCGTCGCAGAAGTAAAGGGGGGCAACTACATACATTATATGCCCCCCAGCGGCCGGCGGGTGGCGCGGAGGCCCAGCGGCCGCCGGGTTAAGTATACATCATTTTCAAACGGGATAATACAATAGTGACAAGATAGTCGCCAGTCGACGTAGGTAAATATCAAGCCCTTGAAGCATTAATGTTTCTTATGCATCGCAAGTTGAATACATTAGCGTTCAGCTTTGTTTTTCAGTGTTGCCCAGTGCTCAGTGCCTGATGACATTATCTCTGCTAATGAGGTCATATACATGCACGCCCGCATACTCCCTGTTCGGCAAGGTCATGACCCCGACGTGCCGAGCACGGCGGTACAAATAATCCCTGTGTGACCTGAGCACGGCCTGTGAGACCGCCGGGGCCCCGGCCTCGTCTCGGCGGCCGTGCAGTCGCCAACGCCGGTCTCTCGGCCGAGCGAGCCTGATCGAACGGCGCGCAATTCGTCACCAGCTCGCGGGAACAAGGCACGCAATTACCCGCTGGCGCCGGCTGACGGCGGGGGTCACCGCTCCCCACGGCCGACAGGTCACGGAAGTGTTCACAAAGGGAGGTTATGTTGGGAGAAGTCACGGCGAAGATCACAGTGGATTCGTGACGGGCTGTCACGGAGGGTATCACGGCATTTGCAACCGGAACGTCACGGATGAGGTCTCAAAGTTATTCATGGCTGTGGTCTTGATAAAGTCACGATAGGGAGGGGAAAGTTACAGTTTCGTCACGACTGTGGGTTCTATGGTAGATCGTGATCATGAGAGCCCAATAAGTATGACACTCTTTGCTACGGACTACTGATGAGTTGATCGAGCAATGGTAAACTCTATGGAAAAGGCGTATCGACTGCACCACACCGGCTATACCTAAGATACAACATCCTAGTTTTTTTTACAAGCACACCTAAGGCCACGCTGTTCTCAGAAAAGGCAATTTGTAGCAGAGCTCAGGATCAGCGGTGTTAGACCGTGGCTCCAAAACAAAACATAACCGAACAGCGAATTTTCAACGGCAACTATTACGTGCAGCAGACGCCTTGTTGCGCAAGGGCCACAGGCCGAAATTTACGGCCCTTATACCGGTCCTATCCAAAGGTCCTCAGGTCGTCGAGGGCAAATGGGCCACGGTAGAGTCGTTACCGTCATGTTTCATGGTAATGGAGACAGCATTATGCACGTCCAGCACGCATTGCGTGCCGGACTGAAAACTATAATTCAGCCTGCCAGCTCAGAGTATCAGTTGGATTGATGACTGCTGTAAAACCTCGATTCAAGAGACGTGATTCGTTAAATCATTCAGGTGCTACTGAAGCCCGTTCTTGGTAATACTGTAATACGCTTCGTGGGTCGTGTGCTGTCGAGCCACATACTTCTTCCGAGCTTATGGTTGAATTAGCATTGTTCGGGCTTCATGTTGTTGTTTTGAACTGTGGTTATGGCTCGTCTCCTCAGATTAGCTTTTTTCTTGTTTGTTTCCTGACTCTCTCTCTCTCTCTCTCTCTCTCTCTCTCTCTCTCTCTCTCTCTCTCTCTCTCTCTCTCTCTCTCTCTCTCTCTCTCTCTCTCTCTCTCTCTCTCTCTCTCCCTCTCCCTCTCCCTCTCTCTCTCTCTCTCTCTCTCTCTCTCTCTCTCTCTCTCTCTCTCTCTCTCTTCCTCCCCGTCCGTTTACCGTCTCAGTCGTCGGAACGATGCTCACGGGGAGGGAGGGGAGGGGAAGGGAGGGGTCCCACCACCGTCACCGGCACCGGCCCCCAGGGGAGTTGCAAATCGGATTCAGCCGACATACGACTCGGGGGCAGAGGGCCGGAGGGTCAGCTTTGCAGAGAGGCAAACGGCTCGTCCTCCTGACTGCAGGCACCGTTGAGCGGCTGATGGCTAGCCCTGTTGACAATAATCCGCGCAAACTTATTTGTTTGCGGGCGAGCCAGAGTGGCATTACTTGAGTGCAGAAATGCTATTTCATTAGACATGAACATATGTGTTGTTTGCTTCAGTGAACGCGAAGACTGGGGTGAAGAGGAACAGGATTTATGGGGTAGAATGAGAAAGAGAAAAAGAGGGAGAGAAAGAGAGAGAGAGAGAGAGAGAAAGAGTGAGAGGGAGAGAGAAAGGGAGAGAGAGGGAGGGAGGGAGAAAGAGAGATGAAATAAACATTTCTTACAGAACTGCTCTTGGCACACAAACAAGATGAACGCGACTGATATTGGTGTGATATTGCGTACTTCTGAGCTCAGTCCTGAGCCGTCTTTGCAGTTTTGATGTTCATACCACCAGTGTTATAATAACTCTATGTTTATTAAATGAAATATCAAAATAGCAGACGAGCTCCATCTGCCATCAAATAAAGCAACCAAGCAACATAGAGCGCCTTATTGTTTTCAGTGTTTGTGGAGGAGACGAAATGCCATACAAAACGGCCCTTCCTCAACATTGCCTGGTTATTGGATGGGCCCTGAGCCATACAGCCGACCGTATGTTACGTGCCTTCATATATTGGCAGTAGTTACTGGCTCCCTGTGCAGTGGCAGTGCACTATTCCAGTAACGAAGTGCGACATAGAAAGGGCACAACAACAGCCCACTCCGCTGGAGGCTAAACTAAACTAAACTAAACTAAACTAAACACCAGACAATGCCACGAGAATGGACACGTCCAGGGCACGCCAATAGGTCCAAAGGCTCATTGGGGTCGCTTGGCGGACTACTGTCGGAGTCGGCACCAACTGGCTTCAGTTGCGAGAGAGCTTACAGTATGTATATTCGCCTCTTCTTATTTATCTAGCCTTATCTACGTTTGACCGGCTGAAGTGACGGTGTGGTCTCCCATATTTGATTGGCAACATGACCGGTACTTTGTCCAAACTGTGGCTCATGTGTTTGACTGGGGCTCGGTCTCGCACATTTGACCTGCAGCATAGCCGGCACGTTTGACCGGCTAAATGACCGACACGTGTGACCTCTCGTCCGCCGGCAGGTCCGGTCAGCGGCCGAGAACGACCAACAGCTGGCTGCCAGGAGCCGGCGACCACCATGAAATCGATGCAGACGGAAAATGGCCCGTCTACCGGCGCGCTGGCTTGTCGTGCGGGCCAAACGGCCGGCCGGGGCCCGTTTGAGAAGCCGCCGGCCAGACCTGCAGGGCTGGTCAGATGCCGTTCGGCATGGCTCTACCCTACTGTGGACGGCGAGGTCTCGGAGCTGGGCGTTTGCGGAGACAGTGTGGTCTGGTTCTGGTTGTGGTCATAGATGTAAATACTCCCGCCTATGACTTATGCACAGTGCACATTGACCCTAACAAATTGTATATCTAACAAAAAAGCGGTTAGCGATAATGCAAAAATCGGGAATATTTTTGCAAATCAAAGCGCTGCATTTGACGCCGCCGTCAAGCTAGGCCCAGCAACTGCCGGAGTTTCCTAAAGTTGACTCAATATCTGTGATCACACTCAGCCCTGACATATGGTCCATTCGGGAGCCGGCAAATATGCCGTTCATCTTCGATAACAAAACCATGCTGTTTTGATATCCACG